ACAGCCACGTGGCAAATTCTGTTTCGTGCACGACTTCTTCCACTGGGTGGTCTGAACGCCTCACCAAAGAACCTGCTCCGACCTTGCTCTTGCAGCAGTTGGGGGGCAAATGGAAGTGGAGCGGGTGGTGCCGAAAGCGGGAGCTCGGAGGTGACACTTATGCACAAGCTATGCGTCAGCAAAGTGAGGCCAGCTTACAGGAGATCAGGGAACTTTGGAATTATAATCGAGGGAAACTGTGTCATTTAGTTATCATGCACAAAGGCCACATAGTTAGGTCTTAATAATCGTGCTGGGAATTTTGTGGTAAAATTTAAGGTGAAAAGATCTCTGCATCTATTAAAGTGCTTTCCAGACTGAAAAGACAAAATGGGGTAATCTCCCCCCAGACCATCTAACCTCCCCCTTCGTCCACCCCAGAGGTACACAGCTCAGCAACATCTTTGGTGGTAAGATGAAACAAGCCATCCTACCTGGTTAAAAAGTGTGTTGTAGTCCCTGGGCGTGTAGGCGCATGCCTGTGATCAATCCCAGCACTTGAGAGGCTGGAGCAGGAGGGTCACTGTGAGTCCGAGGCAAGCCTGGGCTATATAAGCAAGTTCAAAGCCAACCTGAGCTACGTAGCTAGTCAGTCTCAAAAAGAAAAGCATTGTGGGGTCCGGGGAGATGGCTCAGTAAAATAAACACTTCCCTGGCAAGCGCAAGGGCCTGAGTTCAATCCCCGGTTCCACCAAAAAGGAAAAAAAGAAAAAGAAAGAAAAGCATTGTGTTATATACAGATGACTAGGGAAGAGCTCTCGGGTACTTAGACAGTCGAGCAAAACCTTAAAGCAAGTGCAGGCGTCGGCTACCCAATGTGTCAGTCACCATCAGAGCCACTGAATCTGGACACGCAGGGTATTGGGAGGTGGACAGCACAGGGATGGTGAGGAGAGCGTCACTCTGGCTGTGGCAAGTGGAGGAATCCCAGAATTTTATGCCCAAACCAGGACACTATCTAGAATGAAAGGGCACATGGTCACTAACATCCCAGAAGCCAGGCTTTTCTCAAGTGGCCCCAGATATAGTGAGCTTACAGTGCAGAAGGTTCCCTTCGGAGCCAGAGTATGGGTGAGCCATGCAGAGGCATGGCACGGGGTGAGGTGTGAGTCATAGGGACCGCGGGGTCTGCTGCAGGAGGGCAGCTCCCAGGGCACCTCAGAGAGACCAGCTTGTTCAGGGACACCAGTACATGGGCCCAGTGTCCGAGCCCACGCAGGCGACACCGGGTGGTCACACTGGTCATGCAGTGGGGAGGTGGAACTGACAGGGTTTGCAGGTGGATGGAATTGGGTGTGAGAGAGACAGACAGAGATGGCTCCAGCCCTGGTGCTTGGAGCTGCTGCACACAGCTCCTTTTTCTGAAATGGGAAAAGTGCAGGAGCTGAGCGGGGAGAGTAAGAGGTGAGTGTTGGGGCTTCTGAGACTGAGACACAGTGTTGAACCGGGGGGTTGAACCCAGGCCTTTGCGCAGGGCTGTGTCCCCAGCCTGTTTTATATTTTATCTTGCGACAGAATCTCACTAACTCACCATAGTGGGTAGCTAACTGCTGGTCAACTTCTTATACCCAGCTGAATTGAACCAGAGTGGTGCTGGGTG